TTAATATTATTATATTATTGGCGTGTCATTATTTAAGTGTATGTAGTCTAATAATTTGTATCATGATTATCGATGTTTATAAAAGAATATTGTAACTTATACTTGTGTCTATTTTAAATTATATAATCCACATCAAGAGAAGTAATCGATATTTAATTGTTCTCTATCAGATCATGTATATAAGAAAAAAAAAAAAAAGAAAAGGAAGTAAAAATATGTCACATTTTACAAGTAAAACCCTTGCGTGACGACGGATTTCATGGAAACTGTTGTCCGACACACTTTTGTACGACACACACGTCGCCAGGCACAAATCGTTTCGCACGCCTCCAACCGGTAGAAGCAATTCACGTCGCTGCGTTTCGACGATTAACCGTGAGGATTTTTCTAAAGCTTCCTGCATCGTAGCTAAAACAAAATACCTATTTTTTTTTTTTAATCCAATATTCTCTCGCTATATTCAACTTTTAGTCTCGAGTATAGACGTCGCGAGCATGCGAGTAATTTGTTCGACGCTGTTTAAAATGCAATTCATTTGCTTTACGCGGACGTTAATTCGTAGTGGCTGCTTGTAACATTTTATCTTAATATTTTTTTTTTTATGGTCGTCGATGGTTTACCAGGTAAGTAGGTCACACTCATTGTATTCGTTACGAGGAGTTGCTCGAATAATCGCTCTAATACAAATGGATATCGTCGACGAATTCATCATAAAGAAGCGTAGCGTGACAAAAGAGCTTCTGATTTAAATATAAAACAAGTCAGACCAGAAGCATATCAGAAGAATTTGAAAACAGTTTATTACGATAGGCGGCGACGTGTGCAGGAATATTAACTTTTATCTGGTCTCATCTTCCAGCTAGTGGATAAATCATGACGTAGCTCTGCTGCATTGTTTAGAAAATTGAGAACTTGATCTATAATAAAACCACCCATTAACCTTGTGGCATAGACTCTGGATAATTCCCGGTATGTCAGGAAACCGACGCATCCTGTATACATAAACGACGCGTCGCGTTAAAAGTTGTTCAATAGAGAACGTGCCGGCAAATAGAAAGCAAGTCATGCTGCGGTTCCTTGCTCTGGTATACTCTATCGCAATCTTCCTGATGATTTCGAAAGTGTTATCTTCAGACGGATCGGACGAATTAGTGAGAAGAGTGGATAGATCATTTCACAAAGTCTCGTCACCTCTGTTCTTCTTTCATCTTCTCAAACTGAAAAAGAAGATCCAAAAGATAGAAAATGTGCCAACCACGCCACCGACTGCTGATTGCATTTGCGTCCCTTACTATCTATGCGACGCTAATCGCACCATAATTGCGGATGGCGTTGGAGTGATCGATATTAGGTGAGTTTTTCTACAGCGCTGCAGAAATATTCGTTCAAGGTTGATCGTTGGTTTCACATTTCAAAACAGATATCGAAGATGCACTGGAGATTTGGAAGTCTGTTGTCGTCCACAGAACACAACGACGACCACTATGAAACCTACTACTACTACTACTACGACTATGAAGACAACTACTACTACGACTATGAAGACAACTACTACTACGAAGGCGACTACGACCACCTCGACGGTTCCACCAGTGATCTTTCCAACTACAGAATCTCAGCCTATTCCAATTTGTATCTGTGTATCTGTGACTCAATGCGATCCAAACGGAATCATCGGCAATTCCGGGGAAGGCGTGATAAATCCTCGTGCACAATATATACAGTGTCCAAGCAACATGGTATGTTGCAGACCAACCAGCGTGATCCAGTATCCTGTAGTAACCAATCCTCCAGTCGTCATTTCTCCGCAAATTTGTGTATTATGCGGAAATGCGATCCAGTGTAATAACGGAGTTGTAATTCCCGTGAACGTTGGTATCGTAAATCCTGTGGTGACTTACGGTCAACAGACGTGTCCTGTACCTACCTCCTGCTGTCAAGCAATAAACACAGGCTATGGAAATGGGATTCCAGTGGTGATCGGACCCGTCAGAAATCCCGGGACCACTCAGGCTTGTTATTGTATGAAAAGTTGGTTATGCATACCAGGAAACTCGGTTAACACGAATGGAGCTGGCGCCATCGATCCAAGATTTTCCGTGTGTGGAAGCGCGGATGAAGTTTGTTGCCGAGCCTCTCCTACGGTCAATGTAGCAAGAAACGGCGATTTAGATAAATCAGACGAAAGTATACTGAATGGTGAAATATCGTTCTTGCAACCTGGATGTGGTATTCAGAATAAAACTTATGCGACAGGTAAGTAGATGATTGTAAATGGTTGACAAATGATTGTTGTATTGAATTAATGGAACTAGATGTTCTATTTCTTTATTTTTTTTTACAGCCCAACCTTATTTCGTGGACACTGGAAAAACATATTTTGCAGAATTTCCATGGATGGTGGCTTTGTTAACGGTACAACCAGATGGTAAATATCTATTCCAATGTGGGGGGTCCATGATTACCAATAAGGCTGTTCTCACGGCTGCGCATTGCGTTACCAAGTAAGATTATGCAGATTCTATAATTAAAAATTGGATTATTAAAAACAGAGTCTATAATTAAAATTTAGAGGAAATTGAGGAAAAAAGACTGTTAGTTTAGGAAACAACAGACCGATAGCGCGTTTTGGACAATGGGATCTGACATATCAACCTGGCGACCAACCACTTCCTTTTCTAGATGCGAACATAAAAGCCATAGTGGCCCATCCTCAGTTTTATAATGCTGCTCTGTTCAACGATATAGCAGTGATTATTTTAAACGAACCAGTGAAATTTAATGTAAACATTGTCCCTATTTGTATACCACAGCAGGGACTATTTTTCCCTGCTGGTACTAGGTGTATTAGCACAGGTTGGGGAAAGAATTCATTCGGTATGATTGTGTATACTATTTGTACTTTTTTTTTTATATGTTCTTGCAAACATCATTTTATTTATTAAAACTTTTCATTAAACACGTTCGGCATAGGTGGAACATATCAAACTGAATTAAGGAAAGTGGAACTGCCTTTACTGGACAGGTCTGATTGTCAAAATCGACTTCGGATGACAAGATTAGGAGCCTATTTTCAGTTGCACAGTTCTTTCGTTTGTGCAGGGGGAGAGGCAAATAAGGACACATGCCGTGGAGACGGTGGTGGACCTCTTGTGTGTCCCACAGCTACAGGACAATACTTTCAGGTATCACGTTACTTCAAACATTGCATTCTGGAGGCGCCAGTAAATAAGGAAAAAAACAGAATGACATATTCCTTTTTTCTAGGCTGGTATAGTGTCTTGGGGAATCGGTTGCGGATCGTCGAATGTTCCTGCCGTTTACACAAATGTAGCGCAATACACGGAATGGATTAATCAACAATTGGCAACTTACGGGGCGTACTAAAAAATAATGTATCTTAAAGATTTATTATCTAGTCTTTTTTATCAATTTTTTTTATGCAAAAAATAAATATTGCAAGAAGATAACCGTGTTCCAAATCCAACGAATGTAACAATTTTAAATTATTTTCTGTAACAATAAGTCTAATATCTTTATCTTATATCAATTTTCTTCAATGATATTTGTTCCATATTTTATGTTCAATTAAAACAATACGTACTGATTTTTACTCGAAGCGATAAAAAAAAACATAACCTACAAACTACAAGCAGCCATTTTCTCTGAATATCGCATAAAAGCATGCCATGCATTCTTATTGCATAAGTTAGAAAAATATTGATTGCAGTCTTGAGTCACGAGGAGGTGAATGATGGACGCGTTATAATATTCTTCCATACTATATTTTCCCATCTATTATCTACGATGTGCATCGTTGGGTACCATAATGTGAATATTATATCAGTTATCGCATAATCTCACGAGTCGGTAATAACAATTAAGCGAACATTATTGCGACCTATTTTCCCTAAAGCACGTCTAAATGATCACGTCGATATTATCTATTTGTCGTGACATCTGGTGCAAAATAAATGAATTAATATGCCCGATCGTTTTGTCAAATGAAATAGAAATTCGAAACAACAGTAACAATAAAAAAATATTTATACTATTGCCTTCGAACTTTAAAGTACGATTCGATAATCGAGGAGCTTTTTCTTGGCATAAGAAAACAATGAATTCCAAAGACATATTAAATATTAAATTAGAAGCAATAGCTGTGTCGAAATTAAATAGGGATAAGTTTATATCTTAGAAGAGAGGTTACTTCATGAATATATACAAAATAAATGACCTGATTACGACTGATCATGATTACTTCATTTTTATTTTTAGAAATTTCGCTATCGAAATTATCGTTTCAATTCACGAAGAATGTTTTGATGAAAAACACAAGAGCAAGAGAATTTTTCAATAACTTTCAGAGGTGAGAAATCTTTGTTTTTTTTTTTTTTCAAATTCACTTCTTATTATAGATTTCTTGGGGAAAAAGTGTCAATCAGTACACATATATCTTAGCAAGTCGTGAAATTTATAAACGCTAGGAATATCGTTAAAAAAGGGAATTCTACCTGTTTTAAAAAAGGTTCCAGGAAATCTTGCTTCAGTTCTATAGTTGCGCATGGGAAATACCACTTGACTGTGACTGAGTGAGATCGGTTCGATATCCAATGGGTTAAGGTTAATAGACAACACATACACGTACGCTGGGATGGAGAATCAAGAAATCAAGGATTGGTGGGGGTCATTCTCATAAATGCTTGAAGCTCCGCTGCTGTATATATAATTGTAAACGAAGTCGCAGGCCCGACGTTCAACGCATTGCAATCGTTACTCTTTCAAGAGAAAACTCATCGGTTCAGATCAAAGATCAATCTACAGTAAGTGTTCTATTGTTGTTTCACACTGATGAATGATGCGTGACTGAATGATGCATTGAAGTGATAGTAATACATAGCATAAATGTTTAAGCTGTTTGACATGAATATGAATTTTAGGATTGTTTTTTTAAAGAAATCAATTATAAATAAATCAATTGTAAAAAAAAGTCTTGCAGAAGTGAAGTTTCTAGTGATGTTTCAGTTGTAATTTGTGTTAGACTGTTTATAAGAGTAGAAAACATGTTTCTGAAAGTCCTTGATAGACTAACATCTTTTTTCTTGACGTGTAATGAATGTCTATTGCGATTCAAAATCATTTTTTATGATTAATTTTATTACTGATATCCAATTGATGTTCAATTAATACTTATATCGTTTAACAAATCAGATGTAAAAGAATAAGAGAATATTTAACGTGTTGATATACCATAATTATACTAACCAGACCCTGAAAAAGATCAATGTCAAGAATAGCACACACAGGGATGAATGCTTATATAATGTGTTTCATAGAATTTTAGATAGCCTCTGATATTATCATTATGATTGTTTTTTTTCTTTTTTCAATTTGCTTTGATAATCTTTTATTATATTTTCTCTGAACGATTGCGACACACCTTGGGAATTCCAAGTTGGAAAATGTTTGCTTATTTATCATTCATGAACGTCGCGCAATTATTGGTATAATTAGTAATCTTGGTTAGCCACCCATGACGAAGATCAGAGATTTATTGTTGATTTACGCTTCAAGTGTAATATTTATTTATTATATTTTTCAGGGAATCTCGAAACATTTGCTTCTGTTTTAACAGTCATGGTTACATCATGAAATCAACGAATTGTTTATTTTTCGAGCTTCGACAATCTCTTGAAATATTCATTCAATATCAAATATAAATATACATTTTATCAAGGTAAATGGCAATTATGTTTATCAATGTAGTTGATCATCTTTCTCGTCGATTGATTCAAGTAAGACAAAGACTCATTCTGTTTACAATAACGTTAACTATGAACGATTACCGTAGCTACATATCTTGAAAATATTTAGACGAAATTAGTATGAAAGAAACAAGCAATGGATCATGTTAGTGAATCAAACGCCTCCAGCTCACTTACCTGTAAATTTTTAGAAGAACGAAACGTTTCTCGTATTCTGTTTACTGAACGAAGGGAGGGAGTGGTGGACACTCACTGCTCCTCGTTGTACCGGTTCCATCTTCGGAAACATGAAGTCATACTTATTTATATGCAAAAAAAGAAAAGGAAAAACAAGACTAGTATAGTCGGCATAATAATTTCTTACGATATCTTCGTAGAGAGAGAGAGAGAGAGAGAGAGAGAGAGAATTGCAGCGTCCATCGATTTTATCTTTTTGCAATCATTCATCTTCTTTCTTTGACTAGATTAGCCAGTTTTGTTTATAAACGTTCCATTGTCTTAAGGACAAGTTTAATCGATGATAAATCTACATTGAAATTTATTTGTTCTGAATCAACGATATTTTTTTTTTTGCATTTTCGTTTAATAGTTGAATTATCTAAATCTCTTTTTACCTTAACCGATTGAGCTTGAACCGATCACAATTTCTAAATCATATAGCTAGATTTTTAACTGAGCTTCATCAAGGCTTCCTACTTGTTAAATCTAATGTATTAAACGTTCTATCAAAATTCGAGTATATTCTTCTGTATAAAGTACATTTTTAAACGTATTTCTTTACACTCGTGCAAATTTTAGATTGACAGTTATTAAAGAACCAAAATTGTTTCTCAGAATTTTTCATTCCAAAGATATTTGTTGATCAATGAAAGTACTTAAGACCTCAGGACTGAACAAATAATGCCCGAGGTCTCCATTTCGAAACCTAAAAAAACATCTGGCTAACACCATTTGACCGATGGTTTCCATTCATACAAGAGTTCTCGCAGCTCGACCTCTTGAGATTAATGTAAAGATTCTAACTTAACGAATGAATTTGTTTCAGGACTTCCAACATGGCAACGTGGTGCTTACTATTGGCATTCACGGTGATTAACTTCCCTTGGGTCGCACCAGCTCCCCAATCTGACGGTGGATTGGGTGCTTTGATAACGAGCGCGTTTGAAACAAGTTCGCAAACTTCGTCCCCCGTTGACGGCACTGCCTTAAACGATTTAATTTCGGAAGTATTTACTAAACAACAAACCACCACTACACCGAATACTATTTTGGGAACGAATAACACCCCGAAACAACCACTAGAAAACTGCGAATGCGTGCCGTATTATCAATGTCGAAACGGTACCATTTCGCAAAATGGAGAGACACTGATCGATATCAGGTACGGTTGATACAGATAATGATACTATGAATATGGAACAGAAGGAGTGAATTCTAAAGATCGGTCTCAAAATGGCAAAGATTAGCGCAGTATTTTACGGAGATGGTGCACGATTATGAGGTAACGTTGGGTTGGTCCTATCGATACCAAGTACGTATCAGTACATTCATCCATGTATCCTCGAATAAGCACAGAGCAAAATTCATTCTGTATGTACAATGGCAATGACCTAACAAATATGTAGATATCAGGTTTAATTGTCATTTGTTAAATGTGCACGCCGTATGAGACTATCTTTAGATTTACTCCAGATAGATTTTTCACTTTATATTTTAAATATGATAATTATATTCTAAAATAACTTGACTATGTCGATCAGGAATGCAACTGTGGCACGTGTATGTGTGAATATATGTGAACTGCGGATTTTTATGTAAATTCATATTTTTGAGAATATAATAAAAAAAAGATAGGATCTTGTGTAGCAAGCATTATGTTATGGATGCTATATATATGTATAGTTTTTCATACTATTTGCAATTTTTTGAGCTTAACATTTTTTACAAATGCATAGAAATTTGCACTCTGGTTATATAATTACATAATATTAGTTAACATCTTTCAAGATAGCACATTTGGAATATAAAGTGAAAAATACTGTTCTAAGGAAATACCATTTAACGATAAACGATATTTATGGTACAGAGCTTTTTCGAGTCCGTGTGAGAATTACCTGGACGTCTGCTGCAAGCTACCGGACAAGATTAATCCTGGAGAAATAATTACACCTTCACCAATCGAGAGAAAAGGCTGTGGACAAAGGCACCCGAATGGTGTTGGCTTCAGAATTACTGGCAACAATAACAATGAAGCAGAATTCGGCGAATTCCCGTGGATGGTGGCTATATTGAAAGAAGAAGTAATCGGCGAAAACAATCAGAAATTGAACGTTTATCAGTGCGGTGGTTCCTTGATTCACAAGCAGGCTGTTTTAACTGCTGCTCATTGCGTACAAGGGTAAATAATCTAATATCTTTCTGAATATCATCGATATTATTGATTTATCCAATTAATTTCTAATTGAATACACGTGCTTTTCACATAGAAAGCAACCATCCGAATTCAGAATTCGTGCTGGAGAATGGGACACGCAAACTAATAATGAGATTTATCCTCATCAAGATCGCACCGTGCAGAAAGTAATTATTCATGAAGATTATTATGCCGGCGCTCTTTATAACGACTTCGCCATTTTAATCTTGTCCGAGCCGGTGAATTTGATAGACAACGTTGATCTTGTTTGCCTGCCGGAACAAAACGATATATTTGATAACAGTCGATGTTTTGCTAGTGGCTGGGGAAAGGATATCTTTGGTAAGAATCTTCACTATCGATTTGAACCTCTCGAGTTCCTATTTGAAACGGTAACTTAACTTACAGGTAAGGAAGGACACTACCAGGTAATCTTGAAGAAGGTAGAATTGCCAATAGTCCCACGTAATATATGTCAAGAACAGCTTCGAAAGACTAGATTAGGAAAATATTTCATTCTCCACGAAAGTTTTATATGCGCTGGTGGAGAGGCTGGCAAAGATACTTGCAAGGTGAATTAATCATCTATGATCTATTATTAAATTAATCATAGGCTTCCAAATCATACATCATATGTTATAGATTTTGTGAAAATATTTAAATAACCATTGTGCAGTCGAAATGAATGATTTGATTTTTCTAGGGCGATGGAGGAAGTCCTCTTGTGTGCCCACTTAAAAATAATCCCGGCACGTACTTGCAAGCAGGTATCGTAGCGTGGGGAATCGGTTGCGCGGAAAGTGGTAATCCAGGTGTTTATGCTAATGTTGCCTTAGCACGTGATTGGATCGACGAACAAATGGCTTTTAATAATTTGGACAATACCGTTTACAAACCCCTATCACGGAATTGATTTTAGCAAATCGTTTCATAAGTTTGTACGTGTAAAAATCGATGGCGTTTTTCCATGGAAAGACTGTATTCATCATATATTATTTTTGCAATAATAACGTACATAAGATCCATTATTGGGTTTTTTCTTTTTTTTTTTCATAAAAAATATTCCTTTGATGTCTGATAAGTTGTTTTTCTTTTTTTTAAATATTTTTCAATAGATCTGTCACTGGTCTTTTGCTAACTTCTTCCCTTTCCTTTGTGCTTTAAAATTATACACGATATGTGTAATGTAAATACAGATGCGGCGGACAAAAATCTATTGCTGAAAAGTCAAAGTCAGTTGAAATTAACTTTTTATGTTAAATAAATGCTGGTCATAAAATTATATTTCGTCGCAGACGTCTGTGGAACACACTTCGCACATGTTTCGCAAATGAGTTTTTTATGGCACTCCACAACATTCCATTGATTCTTTCCAGACGCGCTATTGAAACGGTTCAATGCATTGTGTTTCAAATCCCTAACTCTTATTTTAAAGAGGTGTCTCTGCTTTTCAAAAAAAGTAGGAAAAATATCTCTTGTTGAGATTGGTCACACGTGTTATACACGTCTGCGTTTGCTTTTTTAGTGGAATGCAACTTTCTAATCGGTGACATAATGTTTTGTTTACGCGATTTTGTTAGGATTTTATTTAAAAAAACTTTATGTATAGATATATATATATATATATATGAAATGTATAAATTTTAAAAAGATTTCATTTGTGGTACATGCGTTAAAATTATGTATAAAATATGCGTTATTCTTTTAAGTTTTTTGAAAATATTATTGCTAAAAACAACATATATTTTTATATAATTAAAAAACTTCTTTTTAAAAATTTTCTTTTTGATTTAATGTGCCTTGTATTTCGCATAAGTTAACATCAACTTATTTATATTATTAATTTTTTGTAATGAGTATTTTCTGTTTAATAACACATATTCTTTGCACTTGCACTTCGAGTTTTCAATTCATAAGAAAGGATAAAGGAGATCCCCTAAAATTCATTAATTATTTGCAATATAACTTTTAATATAAATAGATCTTGTTGAGCTTGATTATTATAACTAATAATTTGAATATTTCTTTATTCCTTTATTTCCAATTGAATGTGTTCCTAGAATTCATGATACATATTTTTGATCGATGTGAGAATAAT